GCATCAATTCGCGAGTTTGTCGCCTGAAGGGCTCGAGCTGGACCACGAAGCCGGTCGTACTCGTCCGCGCGAATATTTTGGGGCGGGGGGGGTGGGCCCGGGGGGGGGGGCCGGGAGGGACCATTGGATGGGGGGACCTTTGGATGGGGATGGACGAGAAGTGATTTTGGTTTTCTTTTGTAATATACGGACTTGCTTTATTTCTTTGTCCATGCGTTCAACTCTCTGTTGGGTATCCGCACTGTATGCGGAATCTTTCTGCATTGCAGCTCTGATGAGGTGTTCGGTATCCACATTACATGGAAGACGCACTCTTCCGTGCAGAGAGCTGATCTCGTCCGAGCCAATTCAACAGTTACATGTGCGGACAGGAGCAATACTGTAGTTCAGTCAGTCAAGGGAACGAACCTAAGGTTAACGGTACCGAACTTCAGGTTTTCCCGGGTGGGAAGGAGAGAGGATTATACGACAATGATGCAAATAGGAGCTACGCACAAACGGCATCAGGAGATTTCATGCGCCAATGCTTTACCGCAACCATTAATGGACGACGAAATTACGACTTCAAAAAGGGATGCCCATTTGCGTATGCCGTCAGCAGATTTTATTGCAAAAAGCGCAATTGGCCAGCGCGTTCGTATGAAGTTAACTTCAGGGAACGAACCTAAGGTTAACGGTACCGAACTTCAGGTTTTCCCGGGTGGGAAGGAGAGAGGATGATACGACAATGATGCAAATAGGACCTACGCACAAAGGGCACCAGGGGATTTCATCCGCCAATGCTTCACCGCAACCATTATTGGACGAAAATACGACTTCAAAAAAGGGCCGCCCATTTGCGTATGCCATCAGCAGATTTTATCGCAAGAAGCCGCAATTGGCCAGCGCGTTCGTATTCGGGAACTTGAGCGACTCTCCAGTTGCGGCAGGAACATCGGATGTACAATGGCACGAAGTGCAGTATGTTCTGTAAAACCCCAGACTTCTGTAAAACCCGGACCTCGACATCCAGCAGTTGCGGTATGGAGGCACCTTAGAATGTCTCATAAGGTTGGATGGAAGGATAATACTCCAAGAGCTCTTGTGGCGCAATTGGCTAGCGCGTTCGGCTGTTACGGGCTTATGTAATCATTAGATAAGCATCTGCAACCGGAAGGTTGGTGGTTCAAGCCCACCCAGGAGCGTGGTCTTGTGTAAATAGTTTTTCGTTCTTTTTCGTCTGGGAGCACCAGCTTGCATTTTGCCCCCGCATATGGCTAGCTTTTCCGTGCAACAACGGCCCGGCTACAGTGCCCAATTTCTGATGAAAAATATCTCCCGCCGAGGCAACTTTGTGCTGCGCTTATTTGATGAATGGTTACGGTCACCGCTGTGACCGTCACAAATGACCTGTACGTTGCAACGTGAGCTTTACCTGAATATGTGACCCTCGGGCAGAACTTAAAAGGTACCAGGGCCATTTCCTGCCACCCTGCGGTAACACCTCTCTCTTCCTTCCTCTGCTTCATTTAAATAACAAAAACGGTCGCGGCTTCTGTTCTGGGCATTTGATTTCCATCATGTACCAAACATCACATGCTACCGCCAATCCTTCCGCCTATCGTCTCGTCCCTTGTCCCGACTGCGACTGCGACTGCGACTGCGATCTCGCCGCGCTGGAGAACGATCCCTATAACTATCACCGCCCCGTGTTCGATCGCTGCCCTCTCGACTTCGTATGCGATCCCTCCGAGGTGATCGGTCCCGACTATCATCCCCTCGGCCTCTTCCTCCACGGGCATCGCTGCGGTCTGCGCTCCGGTCCCTGCTCCGGTCCCAGCTGCGGTCTCGACTGCGTTCTCCACCACGGTCTCGCCCGTCCCTGTACAGATGTCTTCCCGAATGCCTGCGTTCCCGATTCCCGTCGGTTTCTGCATATGATCGTTTCCTCTTAGGTTCATCCTCCCGTTTGATCACGACTTCTTCGTATAATCGCGTCCCCTTATGTACATCCTCCTCCCGTTTGATATCTGGGGCTCCGCCTCCACCCACATCCTCCGCCCGCTTATGCTTTTTGGCCTTCTTCTCCTTCTTCCCCTTCTTCGCTTTCTTCGCGTCTTTCTTCGCTTTCTTCGCGAGCTTCTTTGCGTAGTATTCCCGCATCGGATCCTCAGGGTCAAGTTCCGCGAGTTTCCGTTTGATTGGATCGTCCGCATCTTCGGATTCTGATTCTGATGATGATTCTGGATTGAAAGCGAAACGCAAATCAATACGTATGGAAGTTTTTGGTAACGTTGTAAGAAATAATATGAACCGCCCGAGATGAATCACCTTGCTTTTTCCATTCCTTTGGAATCAGATGAGATGGCAGAATTTTCATCTGTCGCTGCCTTTCCTCTTCAGAGTCATAATCGTCATCCTTTTTGGGTCCGCGGTACTTTCCAACATGATCTACCCGTATGTTCCTGTTGAGGATCTGACAAGATCAATCAGCCGTCGAAAGTAAGACACAGGGGATGCTTCGGGCAAAAGACCTCGTACCTTGATCCCATTAAAGTTGTCAACCGCCAGCACCGTACTCCGTTGATCCTCATAAGCCACAAAGGCGAAGCCTTTGCTCTTACCCGTAGCTTTGTCGCGAACCAGGTTAATATCAACTATTTCTCCATATCTGCAAATGAATAGCAAGGAATGTTACGGTCTTCGTCCTAAAGAGGTTTACAGGAAAGCAAGCTCCAACAGGCCCTACGCACTGGGAAAACACCGCAATGACATCCCCCTCGGTCAGCTCATAAGGCAAGCCTCCGACATACACATATGCTGAATCCTGACGTGTAGAATCTCGTCAGAAGGCGGTGCCCGTTGCTTGAAGGTCCGCTGTCGGTCACCTACCGCATACTGCGCATGCCAGGACGCAGAGTGTTTTATGTCTCTGAAAAGTTCTACAGCATTGAGCTTCTGGACAGCCTTCAAGTTGCTGCAAAAGAAAGCTCAGTGTAAGTCATTCTGGGCGTTCCAAGTGGACGGGTTTGCTTGGAATACTTGCTTCATTTGTCGGGGAAGAGGGAGAACAGGAGAGCTGCGCGAAGCGACGATTTCATCTCAGACCCATTTAACCAAAATTGTTAAATGAATTGGCGCCTCCACAAGGACCACTCACGAACCGCCATCATTTCAAACACCGCATCCCACACTCATCAACTCGTCCAACAAACAAAAGCCAATACCGATACTCCCTCAGTATACCACAACGCATAATATCCTTGCACACTCTAATTGCTCCGCCCATTGCAACCGCCAGCTGCCTCAAATGACTGTCAAAGACAGAACGTCAGAGTTCCACTCGGCGGTCGAGTCATTACTTTCTCGATCGGGTCCCTCAAGCGTCCTCCCGGCCGACAAAGTCCGGCTCTTAAATTCTTCCTACTCTTCCTCGTCCCACGCTCCAACCTCAAAAACCGAATTCACCAAAGCCGCCGCTCAGATCGGACGCGAAATCAACTCGACCGTCGCAAAGTTGCAGAAACTGACTCGTCTCGCCAAACGCAAATCACTGTTTGACGACCGACCAGTGGAGATCAATGAGCTGATTTACATCATCAAGCAGGATATCGCCAAAATCAACAATCAGATTGCTCAGCTAGCCGCGTACCAACGCAAAAATGGATTCGGGGTGGGCGGCGCACAGGGAGCGGGCGGTGCCGGGAGCGCGGCGGCGGGCGGTGCGGGAGGGAAAGGGAATCGGCAGGTGCTAGAACACTCTTCGAACGTGATCACCAGTTTGCAAACTAAACTGGCATCCACATCGAACGAGTTCAAGAACATTCTCGAGATTCGAACGCAGAATATGAAGGATCAAAAGGAGCGGAGGGATCAGTATTCGTTTTCGGGAACGCCGGGTGGGTTGTTGGGACCGGGAGGTTTTGGATCATCGGATTCACCGCTGTATAATCCCGAGCGGCGTAACACACCAGCGCCGGCGGCGCCAGATCAAGGGGGGTTTGGAGCACCAGCATTCACTGGACCTGGAGCAGGAGCGCCGGCGGGGGGAGGGTCAGCGTCAGGGTCGGGTTCAGGGCAGCAGGACGGATCCGTAGTCATCGACTTTGGAAGCGGGAGCATGGGTGCCGGGATGGGTATGGGAGCAGGCGGTCTATCCAATCCAGCGAGCGGTCAAATGCAACTCGTCCAAGCTCCTGCAGCTCTCAACATGGAAATCATCGAGTCGCGGTCACAGGCCATCGAGTCGATTGAAGCCACCATCGCCGAGCTGGGACAAGTTTACCAAAATTTTGCCACTATGGTCGCTAGTCAGCGCGAGATGGTGCAACGCATTGATGAAAACGTGTTGGATGTGGAGGTGAACGTAACGGGTGCGCATTCAGAGTTGATGAAGTACTATCAGAACATCAGCAGCAACCGATGGCTGATGGCAAAGGTGTTTGCGGTGGTGATTGTTTTCTTTTTAATCTTTGTGCTGATGACGTGAAGGGAATGATCCCGTCAACTGGCGAAAGAATCATCATAAAAATCATTAGTTTATTGTTTAGAAAACAAAGCCTCTTTATTTACATTCTGCCTCGTGTGTCAGGTGTGGTTCTTGTTATCTAATGCTTAGGGCGCGTTCATGGTGTGGTGCCTGCCTAGGGGCCAGAGTGAAGAGGACACTACCGACTGAATTGTAAGGGTGGCGCTGTCTACAAACAACGGACCATACATGACAACAAAATGGTGAACCATAGCCTGCTCGGAGGTCACACGGAACAAGGAAGCATAGCCCCTATGCTCAAAAACTACAATGGTGATAATGTTATTTATTACAAAATTTCACAATGCGTACACTGTGCCCAGTCCGCTATTTACTGATTTACTGGCCGTCAACCTTGGCAACGTGGATGAGGAGGTCAACGACACGGTGGGAGTAACCGTACTCTGTGCATGCCACAAATATGTCAATAATCAGAGTCGACGGGCAAAATCAAGAAAAGATGACCCGCAAGTCCGCTGTCCTGATGCTTACCGTTGTCGTACCATGAGACCAGCTTGACGAAGGTGTCGGTGAGCGCGATACCGGCCTTGACATCGAAGATGGAGGAGTGGTTGTCCCCGATGAAGTCGGAGGAGACAACTTCGTCCTCGGTGTAACCCAAGACGCCCTTCATGGGACCCTCAGCGTTCTTCTTGATGGCGGCAACGATGTCGGCGTACTTGGCGGGCTTCGCCAACTTGACGGTAAGGTCAACGACGGAGACGTCGGGGGTACCGACACGGAAAGCCATACCGGTGACCTTGCCGTTGAGCTCGGGAATGACCTTACCGACGGCCTTGGCCGCACCGGTGCTGGCGGGAATGATGTTCTTTTTTCATAGAAAGATTCAGATGCTGGCAAAGAAGAAATATGCCATGCTTCGACTACTAATAATTACCTGGTTGGCACCACGGCCCGCACGCCAGTCCTTGCCAGAGGGACCGTCGACGGTCTTCTGGGTGGCAGTGATAGAGTGAACAGTGGTCATGAGACCCTCGACGATTCCGAACTCGTCGTTGATGACTTTGGCAAGGGGAGCAAGGCAGTTGGTTGTGCAGGAGGCGTTCGACAAAATGTTGATGTCCTTGGTGTACTTGTCGTGGTTGACACCTAAGTTACCAATCCACTTTGTGAGCCAATGACCGGAGCTGCAGGAAACACGCATCAAGATATCTTACCAACGACGAACATGGGAGCATCGGCAGAGGGGGCAGAGATGATGACCTTCTTTGCGCCACCCTTGATGTGAGCAGCTGCCTTGTCCTTGGTGGTGAAAACACCAGTGGACTCGACGACGTAGTCAGCACCAGCCTGTCCCCATGGGATTTCCTCGGGGTTCTTGGCAGCGGAGACTTGTATCTCCTTGCCGTTGACGACGAGCTTGCCGTTTTTGGCCTCAACGGTGCCCTTGAAGCGACCGTGGGTAGAGTCGTACTTGAACATGTACACCTACAATATCCGGCGCAGTGCATATTGAGTGCCTTGATAAGAGCACACACCATCTCGCACCCCTCATCTATTCCACCATCGCGCCTCATCGCGGCTCATCGTGCCTACGTAACCCATTCCCTCGCAGACAGACAACCTCCCCAACGCGCCTCGCGTCCTCTTTCCCGTCAGCTGCCCACAGATAAGCAAACATCGCACTTCCCACTGCCCTCACTCACCATGTAGTCG